GCACACGCACAGTGACACACGCACCCACACCCACACACACACCCACACGCACACGCACACGCACACACACACCCACACCCATACCCACACTCACACCCACACCTACACCCACACCCGCACCCACACCCACATCCACACTCACACCCACACACACACCCACACTCACATCCTTGTTCCTTATTATTATATACCCCCACCTACCTCGTATTCCGGCCGATAGCAACCCAATCCGGGACCTCCCATCCGGATTGTAACAAATCAATACAACGTGGCCGTTTTTCTTCTCAACATCGTCTTTCTTGTCGTCGACGATGCGAAAACCGTGGCAGGAATGGGACGCGGCGCACATCGCGCGCGGCAGTCAATCTGGGCCCGCCCATCCTGATTGTAAAAAGTCAATACAAAGTCTTCGTTTGTTCCTCTCAGCATGGCCTGCCTTGTCGCCGACGGTGCGAAATATGCGGCAGCAGTGGGACGCGGCGCACATATGGGACGCGGCGCACATCGCGCGCGGCCGTCAATCCGGGCCCGCCCATCCGGACTGTAAAAAATCAATACAAAATTTCCGTTTTTCCCCTCAGCATGGCCTGCCTTGTCGCCGACGGTGCGAAATATGTGGCAGCAGTGGGACGCGGCGCACATCGCGCGCGGACGTCCATGCGGGCTGCGGGCCCTCCCATCCTGATTGTAAAAAAACAATACAGAGTTGCCGTTTTTCCTGTCATCATGGCCTGTCTTGTCGTCGACGATGCGAAATGCGTGGCAGGAATGGGGCGCGGCGCAGATCGCGCGCGGACTTCTGGGGCAACCCCAAGGCGGGAGGGGCCACCTTACTTGTCAGAAGCAATGCCATGCTGATTTTCCCTGCCCACATAGCTGTTCTTGTCGTCCACCCCGCAAAAGTGCATGGCAAGAATTGGGCGCGGCACCCCCCCCTCCCCCCCCGCTCGAAGTGAATGAAATGACCTTCTCGCTTGGGCGCCGAGCGAAATTTTCTCAAAGTTGCGCTCCCGCTTTGGCTCGGCGCACGTTTTTAGCTCGCCAATTCATGGGGCGCCGGGGCGTTCCAGGAGGCCCTGGGGTGACGAATGCATGGGAGGTTTTTGCTTGTTCAGGCTCTTGGAGGGCCTCCTGAGGCTCCCCGCGGTTTCTTGGCGCTACGGCCGTCTGGAGGCCATCTTGGGCGTCTTGGAACGATCTTTCGGCGACCCAGGGCTACTACTACTGCTGCTGCTGCTGCTGCTACTACTACTACTACTACTACTACTACTATTGCTACTGCTACTACTACTACTACTACTACTACTACTACTACTACTTCTACTACTTCTACTACTACTACCACTACTACTACTACTACTACTATTACTACTACTACTACTACTACTTCTACTACTACTACCACTACTACTACTACTACTACTACTACTACTACTACTACTATTACTACTACTACTACTACTTCCTTCCACTACTACTACTATTACTACTACTACTACTACTACGACTACTGCTGCTACTACTACTACTACTACTACTACTACGCGCCAGCACCCAGTTGCGCCAGCAGTGTTTCTTATGTTGTGGGATGGCGGAACGTGTCCGTTGTTCCTTTCAACATGGCCAGTCTTGTCGTCGACGATGCGAAATGCGTGGCGGGAATGGGACGCGGCGCGCATCCCGCGCGGACGTCAATGCGGTGTCCCGGGGTATCCTCCTCTCGCACTGAAATGCCCGCGCAGCCCCCAGTTGTGCCATCACTGTTTCTTATGTTGTGGGAGGGCGGGTAGGAATGGGCATGCCATGCTTGACTCGCTCGAGCTGGCTAGCTTGACCCACACCCACACCCACACCCACACCCACACCCACACCCACACCCGCACCCACACCCATACCCACACGCACACCCACACGCACACCCACACCCACACGCACACGCACTCGCGCGCACACACACACACACACGCAAACGCACACGCACATGCACACGCACACGCACACGCACACGCACACGCACACGCGCACGCACGCGCACACGCACACGCACACGCACGCGCACGCGTACGCGCACACGCACACGCACACGCACACGCACACGCACGCGCACACGCACACGCCCCCACACGCACACGCACACGCACACGCGCACGCACACGCACACGCACACGCACACGCGCGCACGGCACACGCACACGCACACACGCACACGCGCGCGCGCACTACGCACACGCACACGCACACGCACACGCACACGCACACGCACACGCAACACGCACACGCAACACGCACACGCACACAGCAGCACCGCACACGCACACGCACACGCACACGCCACGCAAACGCACCACACGCACAGCGCACACGCACACGCACACTCACACACGCACACACACACGCACACGCACACGCACAGCGCACACACGCGCACGCACACGCACACGCACACGCGCACGTGCACGCACAACGCACACGCACACGCCAACGCACACACACACAACAC